CAGCGGGAGCGGCCGCGCGGCAGGCAGGTAAGGCGGCCGGCTGCCTGGGCTAGGGCCGGAGCCCTGCTGCGGTCGCCCGTTGGGCCCGGGAGGTGGCGGCGGTGCGGATGGGGACGTGGTGGACAAGGTGTAGGGCGGTGGGAGAGCCTCACCCCATGCTGGCCACCCGGCTCTGGGCGCCGCGAGTGCGAGCGAGAGAGTGTTGAGCTGACAGGTGAAGGGGTACCTGGGCGGCGCCCCCTAGATTGCGCACTGGGGGGGTTCAGGCAGGGCCCATGTGGGCAGGTAGGGGGTGGTCCGTCCTCCAAGGTGTGTGTGTGTGTGTGTAAGAGGGGCGAGAATCCCCCAAACGCGCCGTGGGGTGTGGCCCTGGGCGTGGCGCTGCCCCTCATCCCCTGCAGAGGGCCCAGGGGGGTGGGGGATGGTTGGGACTAGGCGTAATCTCCCCCTGCAATTGGGAGAAAGGAGGACCAGCACTGGACACTGCTTGCTCCTCTGCCCCCAAAGGGTGGGAGGGCTTTGTTCTCCTCCCTCTTGGCAGAAGCAGCCCCCTTGGAACCTCCCCGCCTTGCTCCTCGACAGCTGGTGGCCAGGAAGGGGCGCCCCAAGTGAGGTGGGTGCATCAGGTAGGGGTAATGGTGGCAGGCTGAGCTGGCCCAGGGCCAGGGGTTTCTGAAAAGCAAGATGCTTGGGCCCAGTACCTGCCCACTGCGGCTTTGCGGCCAGGGCCATCTTCCTGTTAGTCCATGTTTGGGAGGGGTCGACAGCGCTTGCTTCTCCCATTTCTCTAGCAGAATGTTGGAGTCCCTTCAGCAGAATTGCCCCAGCAGGTCACCTTAGCCCCTAGCCCATCACTGCCCACCTCATGGGGGGGCAGGCCCAGGGTTGCACACCCTAAGAAGTAGGGGCACAACACTGTCACCCCAGGTCATCTCCAGCTCCTGGCCAACGCCACCTGCAGGGCAAGGGTTCCTGGGCCATCTCTGCTGACTCACGTGGCCCCGAATGTAACGAGGTCCTGCCAGTCCTCCTACCGGCTATCCCAACCCAACGGCCCACCCCCTGGGGTGTGGCTGGGCCAGGGGCTGGCCTTGGGCCTCCCCGTTTCAATCCGCTTGCTTCTCTCATCTGACACAGCTCCCAGGCAGCACCCTTGGGCTCTGTGTCTGTGGGGCTCCTGGCCTGTCGGGTCACACAACAAGTTCAGGGCAAAACTAGGGTGGGGACAGGTCCTGGCTGTCTTTATGGCTGTGTGAATATGATCCTAACAGTAGCTCATTTTACTGGAGTACATTTGAAATGTACAGAAGAGAACAAAAGAAATGAGGAATCCCTTGTGATTCTCTCATCAAGCACACGGTGCCACCCGAACCAGCCCCTCCCTGAGGCTCCTCACCCCCATGCCAGGTCCCTGCCCCCTGCACAGCCCCCTGAGGGCACACTGGGTGTCTCCAGGCATCTTCTTCGCCTGGCCTTTCCTCACTCTCTGCTGTAACACAGCCAGTCACCATCTTGACCACCATTGATGGTCCTTGTCCTTAGAGGTGGGGGAGTCGCTGGAGAGTGAGGAAAGCTTTGGCCCCCAGCTGGCAGCCCAGTGTGCAGCCTCTGCCACCCCCCAGCTGACCAGCTTGGGCTGCTTGTCCTTTGGGCTCTGAGCCGGGCGTGGCTCCCTGGTCCGTCTCTAGGTAAATGGCGTCAGGTGCCCACTTCAAACAGCTGGGCTTTCTTCTGGGCAGGGAGGGTGCCGTGGGGTCCCAGTGTGGCGGTCAAGCTCTCGGGCCCTCCCCAGATGCCTTGCTGGGCCAAAAGGGTGAGGGGCTTATCTCCAGGACCCTGGGTCTGGGGGGTATTCCATAGGGAGATTCTGCATACTGCCCCTTGGGGGCTTGGCCCCGCCTGAGACTCAGACAATGGGGGTGGCAGCAGAATTGAGCCTCCCCTCAAGACTGCCTGCTCCTTGCCTGGGGGGTGGGCGCAGTGCCTGGATTCCCCCTTGTCAGCCACCCCTCTCCTTCCCCACCCTGCCAGTGCTGTCAGTGTATTCTCAGGGCTGATGGGCCCCCACTTGGCCCCATCCTACCTCTGGCTGCCCCACCCTTCCCCATGCTGCACCTTACTAAGCCCTCTCTGCCCCTCTCTCAGGTCCAACCAGCCTCCCCCCACCCCATCCCCAACGTGGGTACTGAAAGCCGAGTTGCCCGAGTGGACTGACTCCTCAGATCCCTATGGGGTCTTGCCTGGCCCGGAGGGTAGAGCAGAGCAGGACTAGGAACGGGGGCAAGCCCAGTCCACGCCTCCCTAGAAGGGGCTGTGGTTGGAGAAAGGGGCGGGCGGAATCAGAGAGGGTGGGTATCCTGCTGGTCATTCTGGAAGCTCTGCTTTGTCCAGTGCCCCCACCGGTGGCCGGCAGCCTCGGGGCGGGAAGCTGCAGAGCAGTGAGAGTCACAGCCAGTCTTGGATGGAGCAAGAGGGGCAGCTTGAAGGGAGGGGGCTGAGTCCATACCCGCCAGGCAGGTGGGGCAGGAGGGCAGTCCAGCTTGGAGGTTTGCCAGCAAAGTCTGGCTGCTGGGGAGGTTCCATGGGGGGTGGGAGGTGGCCTGTCCCTGAATTCTGATTTGCATGTGTAGATCGTGTCTCATGCCTGGTCATGAGTGTGCATATGTGAGTGTGTTAGAGTGAGTGAGCATGCACACGTCTGTGTTGGGCCTGTACTGGGAAGGGGTGGGGCTGAGGCCAGTGGCTTCCCGGCTAGCAAACGCCTGCCTGATATGAGAATGGGTGGGGCTCTGCCTGACCTCCCCCTTCCCCCTTTTGCTTCCCAAGAGCTGGGGTGAGCCCAGACCCTCCCCCGCCTGTGCTCATGCCTTCGGAATCTCCAGGCCTATGGACGACAGAGGCTGCATTGTCCATGCCAGGCTTCCTGTGCCCCCCTCGGCTACTTAATCCTTTGAGATGGGGAGCCCGAGAGTGGCCAGAGGGGCCAGCAGGGTCGGAGCCACTTTCAGCCCTCTCCTTCTTGGGCCAGGTGCACTGGGCCTCGCTGGTCTGAACCCCACTAGACTGTGGGCCTGCCTTCTGGTCCCTTCCCCACCCCCTGGGTCCGCCTCTCCTGCCCTCTGGCTTGAGACAGGCATTGGGGTGGACAGTCCCAGAGGAGCAGAGAGATTGTACCATGGTGTCTGCCCCTCCTACCCCCTCATAGCTGGGATTTCCCTAACTTGTCAGGGGGCCTGAAAGTGGGAGGGGCACCTGATAGCTACCAGGCCATTTCTTGAGTCTGGGTCTTTCTGGTCCTGTTTGGAACCTGGTTTTCCAGAACTAGGAGAGGATTCTTCAACGGACAGTCCAGGCCTGGGCAGTGATTGCCACAGGCTGCCCCCCACCTGTCCCCAGCTCTGTCGGGGTGGGGGTGGGGTGAGACCTCTGGTGAGGAGCCCTAAAGTCTTGAATTGAAGAAAGAAGGCCAGAGCTCAGATAGGACAACTGAATTGAGGAGAGGGGCTTGTTTGGGGACAGGCCCCTGCTCTGTCCTCAGATGTGATGTTAGCCACATCCTACTTCTTCATAGCTTCTCACCTGAGATTTCCCTCTCTGGTTCCCACATTTGCCTAGCAAATAAGCCCTCCCATGGGCACCCCAAGGGAGGGTTTTCACGAGGCCAGCTGAACCTGAGTAGCTTTTGGTGGCCCCCATGGTTCTGTGGCCTGACACATGGGGCTGGAGCTAGTACTTGCTTCGCAGGGGAACTGGAGGATGAACTGAGTAAATGTTTGTAAAAGTATCCAAAAGAGCCTGGTACACTGCAAGTGTGACCATTGAGCTGGGATCCCAGACTTGTTCTCCACTCCCCACAAGGAGTTAACCTCACTTCTCCTCTTGCTGGTCCCTAGACTTCTTTGAGAATATGGGAACACTTCACCTTGGGGAGCATCTAGGAGTGATGGCCCTTTAAGAATTCTGGACCGGTTACCTGTCGGCCTCCCACCAGCAGTCTCCCATCTATATTATTGGCTACAGGGCTTTCCTAGGCTTTCCCCACCTCTGCTGAACTGGGCTGCATCACCATAGAAACCCGCCAGTCACTGCCTGGGGGAGGGTGAGCAGAAGCCTTAAAGGGAAGCAGTGCACAAAGACACCCCCCCCCCCAGCCCTCCAGAGAAAACCTAGCAGACATGAGCGATCCCCCCAGCACCCACACTCTAACCTTCCCACCCCCTACTGGGGCTGCCCCTTGCCTTGGGCACACGCACGCACCCACACAGCTGAGCGGGCGGGGCTGGAGACTCCTGGGATTCGGTGCCGCTCCCTCGCTGAACCCCACCAATGAACCTCTGGGCAGGCCTGCTACTGTTGGCGGGGAGCGGGCACCCGCAGAGTGCCCTTTGATTTGACATGGGGGAGGGGTGTTCTTAGAGGGCAGCAGCCACCCCCATATCCAAGCTGAGTTTCACCCCCTCCCAGGCAACCCAGCCCTGAGGGTCTGGTGCACGGTTTACAGCCGGCTGAAGAGAAATCCCAGTGGGCCAAGACTACGGGAGGGCACGCCGGGGAGCCCCTGGAGGCCTGGGGGCGGTGGGTGGGGGCTCTTTTCTGCCCTCTCAGCCCTTCTCAGAAGCTGACCCTATCCCGACCAGGGCTGGCCACGCCCTTCCTCCTGGTTGGCCCCGGGGAGAGTGGGTTCCAGCACCCAACCCACACTGGTCCTGGGCCCTGCCTTTGTCTCACTGTCGTACCTGTGGACTTAATCATGTCAGGAGCGCCTAGGACCCTTAAGGTGCTCGGCCCCCTCTGTGGGCGCTGCCCGCTCTGGTTTGGGCGGCATACGTGCGTCTTACAGCATCCCCTCGCCCTAGCGCCACAAGTGGGCGGGGACCTGCACGGTCTCTGTGGGGCTTTGTCTCCTCTCTAGGCCCCGCCTGTCAGTCCAGCGGGACCTCGGAGCGGGAGAAGCTCCCTCCTCCGCCCCTGGCCCATCTTCGCCCCTCCCCCGCCTCTTGGTGCCCCACCACAGCCTCTCAGGCTACTCCCGGTGCACGCACGCGCACGCGCACACCCGCACCGCCACCCCTCTCTGTTCTCGCCCTTTCTGCCATTTCTCATCAGTGCTCCTGCGGCTGTTTCTCACCCTCGGTACCTATTTTTCCTCATCCCTTTCTCTGCTGCCCGGGTCTCAGCTTTTCAACAGCCTCCATCTTGGCTGTCACGGTCTTTGTCTTAAGCCCCTGCCTCCCCCTCCCCAGTGCCAAAGCTCCTCGCCTGCTCCCTTCTGCCTCTTTCTTGCTGTCTGTCACCTCAGTTTTCCCCAGCCTGCCCCCTTCGCAAACGTGGCCTTGGCTCCATCTGTACACCAGCTTGCCGACCGCCCCACCTCCCTCTCCCTCGCCCTGTGGTGGTGATGGGAACCGGGGTCCTGCTGGGTGACAACCACAGCCACTTGCTACTTAATTGCCTGATGACTGGTAAGAGATCAGAAGCGGGCAGCAGTGGGAGGGCAACTGTGAGCCGCGCCCAGCTGTCCGGAGCCTGGAAACTTTCTGGCTCCTGCCAGTCTCCCAGTCGCTAGGGACATGGCGAGCTGAGTGGCAAATACCTGGAGATCTCCAAGAGGCCACGGGGACGGGGCTAAATTCCTGGTACAGACCTAACCTGAGTCTGGGATCCCCGGAGCTTAGATTTGGAGGACAGATGGAGAACCTGGTGGAGAAGCAATAAACAGAGCTGCTCCCCTGCTCCCGGTGCCCCCTAGGCTTTTGGATCGGAGTCTCCTACTGCCTCCTACCGGGCCTTGAAGTCAGGCTGCACAGGGAGGAGGAGGCTGTGTGCACTCACTGTTGTCTGGCCTCTCTACTCCTCTGCTGCCCACCCTCCCTGCCTGCACGGAGCATCCCCCTCCCCCACTGTGGGTGTGAGGGAGGAGCTGCTCATTCACCATTTATCTGGCCGACTACTCTTCTGCCTCACCACCTTAGACAAAAACCTTCTTGTGGTTCCTGGCTGCTTGCAGGCCCAGTCCACATTCGGTAGCACAGCATTCCATCCTGGTCTCCTCTGATGAGCACGTAGTCACCACGGGGGGGGGGGGGGGCCGGGTCTGCTAAGCAGTGTACCCCCTCCTGGTCAGGGACCGAGGTGCCTCCCAGGCCCACATCATATAAGTGGCACGGGGCATTATAGGCGCTGCTTGGGCCTGGGGCAGACACATCTAGCCTTGCTGAGCCCTGAAACCACCAGGAACGGGGCCTCCCAGGCTTGAGAGGCATCAGGGGGCTACTGCCCTCGTGCCCTCAGCTTCTCAAGGCAAACTGCCATTTCGCCAGCCGCTTCTTCCCTTTCCTGGCTCCGCTCTGGGAACACAGTCATCCTAAGCCCCTTTCTGCCCTCCCCTTGTACCATTTTCCAAGTCCCTCCCCCGCCTGCTCTTTAAGCCAGCACCCAGGCTTTGAGAGTGTGACAAAATAGGAAACAGTGCACACAGATAGCAGACCTGCCACCAAACACACACACAGACACAGATACATACAGGTCATAGGTGTGTAGCTTCACCCTCCACAGAAACACTCACCCTTTGTAGGTTCAGAGTTCCCACAGGAACACACGTTCCAGAGCACACATATGTGCAGTCAGCTCCCACCAGCAAAGACACACACACGTCTGTGCCCACAAGGGCACACACATAGCCATGGACACCTACTCACAGGCAGCAGCTAGCACATGTGGGAATGTGTGCACAAAGCGGCCTGTGGCATGCCCAGGAGAGCTGATGGGGGCAACAAGTTGGTGCTCCGGAGGGAGCTGGCTGACAGAAAGGAGGAAAGGAAGGGGAGGGAGCCTGGAGGTCCAGCCCTGAGACACTAAGGCCAGGTTTCTTCCTGCCAGGTAGGGGGAGGAGGGAGGAGCTGGCCAGCAGGGGGCGGGGCCAGGAGCCTAGGCGCGCCCAGATGTTAGTCACTAACGTCCCTGGTTCTCTCCACCACCATCCCCCTCCTGTTCCTTCCTTCTCTCTCCCAGTGCCCCCACCTCCAGCTCCCGCCCCAAGCTTCCCAGCATTCCTCTTCCCCGGGCAGGAACCGCAGCCGGAGCAGAGCCCGGCGGGCCGTGCCGCGCCCAGCCGCCGGCACTGCCGCGAAGATGGCCGTGGCGCTGCGGTACGTGTGGCCGCTGCTCTTGTGCAGTCCTGGTTTGCTCATCCAGATCCCCGAGGAATGTGAGTACGTGCCCCTCGCAGCACGAGGGGCTCTATTTATCTTTGGTCCCGCACCTTTCCCCGTTGGGACCCTCGTCCCTCCTTTCTGGGTAGGGTAGGGTAGGGTAGGGGGCACCTAGGGCACTGGGGCCTTCAGAGAGAAGGGCTTAGGGGAGGGGGAGGCGCAGTTAGGATTCAGCACCACGGACAGGGAGTCGCGGGCGGGCGGTCGGGCGCGGTCATCACCACTGACAGCCGCCCACCCGCCCGCTCAAGGTCTGCAGGACCGCTGCCGCTGCCGCCTGAGGCACCGGCGGGGCGGAGGGAGGTGATGGGCTACAGTGTGGGGTTTGGGGAACGTCCTGGATTCAAGTCTTGCCCCCCGCTTCTCACTTATGTTATCCTGAGCTGTTTTTTTTCCCACCTTGGCCCCTCAAGAGGGAAATACGCCTTGAAACCCCCAGACCCAACCCAGCAGCCTTCTGGATTCTTAAAAAATTGCTGTGTAGCTATTTGGTGCAGGACACATGTCTAAAGTTAGGATGGTACTGGGAGGATGGGTGAACTTCTGTGGGGGGGGGGGGTTCCACAGGCAGGGAAGTGGAGGTGTGACTGTGGTGATAATGACCCAGGCCCAGAGGTTTGTGATTTTCTAGATGGGTAAGTTTGTGAGTCAGAGGAATTGTTCCCCCTTGGCCAGGTTTGTGCAGGTCTGAGGTTATTTGACTGTAATACTGGGGTGTGTGTGTGTGTGTGTGTGTGTGTGTGTTGGTGGGTTGGTTACATTGGAGTAGGTGGTGTGTGTGTCTGCAAGGTAGGACACATAAACGTACCACTCTGAGAAAGGGCTGCAGGAACCATGTGGAAGGTAGGGCATGAGTATGTCCAGTGCCTGCCCTCCCTCCTCCCTTGCCACCTTTCTCTCTGGGCCTGGGCATTAATGGAGTGAAGAGTAGCTGACAGGACAAAGGTTGGGGACACCCTTTAAACACCCTGTGAAACCAGAGATACAAAGGGGCAGAGGACACATACCGACACAAAGGACCACAGCCATCCACACAGCCTCCCCACCAGGCATCGGGCACACACAGGTCTGTAGATGTTCCCAGGCAGGAGCCCTCTCAGACAGTCACCTTCAAGATCATGCACCCGCCCCGTTGTCCATACAGGGCATGCCTGCACACACCTCCCCAGACCCACACCTCCTTCCTGTCTGCTCCGCTGCCTCTGGGGTGCTGATACCTGGCCTGAACCCCCTGAGTCTTACCCTGGGCCTCAGCCTGCTCCTCCACCAGATGGGCTAGACCAGCTTGCCTGGGTGCATTTATGTGAAATGGGCAGTGAGGATTTAGAGAAGACAGCAGTGGGGAAAGAGAACTAGGTCAAAGACCATGGCAACTGCTTCCAGGCTGCCCTGGGCACTGAGCCGTGATTGGCCTTGACCCCGATACTGTGGAAGAACCCCCTTCTTGCTCAAAACTCTCCTCCAACCTTCGTGCTCTCCCTTCCCCCAGTCACTGTTGTCCCCTTTGTCTCTTGCTCTGCCATGTCTGCCGAGTTGATCCCCCATCTTGCCCTTCCTGTCCCTGTCTCTTGCTCTCAGGCTGCCTGCATCAGGTTCGGTCCCTCCCTAGCTCAGGCCTTTCTTTGGTGTCCCCAGGGGCCCCTCTCCCCCAGGCCCTGGCACTGAGGTCTTCTGCAAACACAAAGCTTCCGTAGCAGGCACTCGTGCCAGCCACCAGTGCAGAGGCTGCAACCTGGGCCCGCCAGCACCCTCTGGCCTCTGCCCCAGGTGTGGAGAGACAGGACCGCCAGCACTTGGGGCTGTGGAGGCTGTTGCTGCTGTCCTAGGGCCTTTTCAGGGGGGTCGGGAAGCATGTTGGGGGCAGTTGGCCTCTGAGGGATGGGCCTGGAAATTGAAAACCCACAGCTGTGCTAATTGGATTAGGAGGGAAGTGAGCTGGAGCCAGGAGAGTTCCTGGCTGAGGCTGGCCATTGGTCGAAGCTCCCACAGCATCCTGCAGGGGCGGGGGTGACGGGGGGTAGGGGGAGCAGCTGGATCCTGTAGGTCCCACCATGCTCTGTCCAGCCACCACATGGCCTCAGGGCACAGCGCCTTACTGCCCCTCCCAGTCCCTGTGGGCCCCTGCTGGGGTACTGAGCCTTTCTTTCCTCCTCTCTCTGCTGCTGCCCGGACACCCCAGATGAGGGACTGCATGGTGAGTCCAGCCGGGCTTGGGAGAGTCCCCCTTGGTATGCATGCCCTTGCCCCACCCAGATCCTCCTGCTCTGCCCACCTGGCTGTCCTGAGTTCCCTTCCTCCCTCTTGCTCCACCCACGATGGCTCTGGCCCTTGTCACTGCCACTGGGGACTGGGCCAAGCCGTGGTGCTTGCCCAGCCCCTTACCGACCCAGGTCCCACCACAGTGATGGAGCCGCCAGTCATTACGGAACAGTCACCACGGCGCCTGGTCGTCTTTCCCACGGATGACATCATCCTCAAGTGCGAAGCCAGCGGCAAGCCCGAAGTAGAGTGAGTGACCGCCTCCCCCCCGCCCTACCTCCCCCCCACCATGTTCCAGGCCTCCTGGCCTCCAGCCCTTGTCTACCCACAGGTTCCGCTGGGCACGGGACGGCATCCACTTCGAGCCCAAGGAGCAGCTGGGCGTAACCGTGCACCAGGCAGCACGCTCGGGCTCCTTCACCCTCACGGGCAACAACAGCCATTTTGCCCAGAGGTTCCAGGGCACCTACCGCTGCTTTGCCAGCAACAACCTGGGAACGGCCATGTCCCATGAGATCCAGCTGGTGGCGGAGGGTGTGTACCTCTGCAGGGGCTGCAGGCGAGGGCGGGAGGGGTGCTGGACAGAGTCCTTTCAGCAGGCCTAAGAACTTATATGGGATCCTGGCTGTCCCTGGCTCCTGCCGCTGTCTCTGTGGGTGCCGTTTCCACCTGTCCTCCCCCTCTCTCCCATCTTTGTGGTAGGCCCTGTTTCACCTCAGCACCCGGCCCAGAGCTGAGGGAGCTGTACCTTGTCTCAGCTCTGCCCTGCCTACCTCTGCCTCCCCAGTACCCTCCCCGTCTCGGTGGGAGATCTCCTGCCCCTCCCTCTGTTAGTCCCCCTTCTTCCCTCTGCTCCCCCTGGCACCCCGTTTTCCTCACCACACATCCATCCTTCCTCTGCCCCCCTCTGTCTGCATTGATTCCTGTCACCCTTTCCCAGAGGTCCCCTCTTCACTGAGTCTCCAGCTTCCCCCTCTCTCCACCCCTCTGGTTACCTTGGGAACCGTTGCCGTGGTTTCTGTGTCAGGATGATGGAAGGGTCTATGACTCTTGCATCCTTTCAGGCTCCCCTCCCCCACCACTGCTCACCAGCTCCTGCCCCGCCCCCCCCACCTGCCCCTTCAGTCTCTGTCCCTGTCCTCGGGGTGGACACGAGGATAGCCATCAGTTGGCTTGCAGAGGGGCAGACGGTTAACCCCTCCCGTCCAGCCAGCCTTGTGCCTCTGGAAGGGTCTCCGCCTCCACATGGACTTCCTCTCACAGCGGTGTCCCAAGTGCCCCTTCGCCCCACCCCCCACCCCCACAGGAACTCTTCCTCCCCTCTCCCACCCTGCACTGTCTGGGCCAGGGAAAGTTGGGACCCACAGTGCCAGCCTCTCTGCCCCTTCCAGGTGCTCCCAAGTGGCCCAAGGAGACTGTGAAGCCGGTGGAAGTGGAGGAGGGCGAGCCGTTGGTGCTGCCTTGCCACCCACCCCCCAGCGCTGAGCCCCCTCGCATCTACTGGATGAACAGCAGTGAGTGGCATTGTCGAGCGGTGGGCAGGGCAAGGGTGGGCTTACTTCTCTGGGGCTGGCCCTGACCAGTGCGCTGCTCCCCTGCAGAGATTCTACACATCAAACAGGACGATCGGGTGACCATGGGTCAGAACGGGAACCTCTACTTCGCCAACGTGCGCACAGAAGACATTCACTCGGACTACATCTGCCACGCTCACTTCCTCGGGGCCCGCACCATCATCCAGAAGGAACCTATTGACCTCCGGGTTAAGGCCAGTGAGTCCCAAAGACTTGGCCACCCACACCCCCGAGCTGCGCCCCATCTCCCTAAGGACAGTTTGCCCCCACCTCACCCCGCACCCCTGGCCAGATCCTGCTGGGCAGCAAGAGCAGAGTGGGGATCGGCCCTTTTCCAGAGGAGGGGACCAAGGTCTCAGGGGTCATGCTCACTGTCTCCTTCCAGCCAACAGCATGATTGACAGGAAGCCTCGCCTGCTCTTCCCCACCAACGCCAGCAGCCACCTGGTGGCCTTGCAGGGACAAGCCCTGGTCCTGGAGTGCATTGCTGAGGGCTAGTGAGTCTGGGCTCCCTGCGGGGGTGGGGGCAAGGGGGGCGGAGCTCTGCCACGTGGCTGGGTGACCCTCTGCTTTTTTCCCTGGACAGCCCCACACCCACCATCAAGTGGCTGCGTCTAAGTGGCCCCCTGCCGGCTGACCGCGTGACCTACCAGAACCACAACAAGACGCTGCATCTGGTGAGGGTGGGTGAGGAAGATGATGGCGAGTACCACTGCCTGGCTGAGAACCCTCTGGGCACCGCCCGGCATGCCTACTATGTCACCGTGGAAGGTACAGATGCCTTGGGTGCCCAGCGACCGCCTGAAGAGGCCATTCACGGGAAGGCGGTGGGTGAGAGCAGGCTGGGCGCTCAGGCCTTGTGTCCTTTCCTCCAGCTGCCCCGTACTGGTTGCACATGCCCCAGAGCCACCTGTACGGGCCAGGAGAGACTGCGCGCCTGGACTGCCAAGCCCAGGGCCGGCCCCAGCCCGAAGTCACCTGGAGAATCAACGGGATCCCCTTAAAGGGTGAGTAGGGGGTGGACAGGGCACAAAGCCAGCAGCCAGAGGTAACTGAGCCCTAGGGACTCTGGGGAGAGAAAGAGGAGGGGGAGACAAAGAAGAAGAAGAAGGGGCAAGGAAGGGAAGGAAGGGCTTCCAAGTCACTCAGGGCTCTGCCTGGCCTGTACCTCATCCCACGGCGGCCACAGAGCTGCGCGAGGACCAGAAGTACTGGACTCAGCAAGGAAACGCCTTGGTCCTGAGCAACGTGCAGCCCAGCGACACCATGGTGACCCAGTGTGAAGCTCGCAACAGGCACGGGCTCCTGCTGGCCAATGCCTACATCTATGTTGTCCGTGAGTGCCTGGGCTGGGGGCTGCGGCAGGCGCTCTCGTCCCCATTTCATAGAGAGGAAGCCCAGCCCTTGGGAGGTGGGCAGAGGGTAGCTTGCCCCTGCGCCTCTCGAGTCCTGGCCACCGGTGGCCCTGAGCCCACATGTGGGCCCTGCCTGCCTCCTGGACTCCCTCTGCAGAGTTACCCGCCCAGATCCTTACTCCAGACAATCAGACGTACCTGGCTGTGGAGGGCAGCACGGCCTACCTCCTGTGCAAGGCGTTTGGAGCCCCTGTACCCAGTGTCCAATGGTGAGCTCCCGGGCCCCTGGGGCAGGCAAGGGGCACAAGGGGCCACTCGGAAGCCCTGAGCTGGCCCTACTGCTTCCGCTAGGCTGGACAAGGGCGGGACGACGGTTCTCCAGGATGAGCGCTTCTTCCCTTATGCCAACGGGACCCTGCGCATCCGGGACCTCCAAGCCAATGACACGGCGCACTACTTCTGCCAAGCCACCAACGACCAAAACAATGTCACCATTGTGGCTAACCTGCAGGTCAAAGGTCAGACAGTGCCCTTTGGTGAGAGGCTGGCCACGCCCCGCGGAGGGCCGGCCAGGGTCTCAGAGGGCCCACCATCGTCAGCCTGCCTGTGGTTGCCCTCAGATGCCACTCGGATCACGAAGGCGCCCCGAAGTGCCGTGGAGAAGAAGGGCTCCTGGGTGAACTTCACGTGCCAGGCCTCCTTCGACCCCTCCTTGCAGCACAGCCTCATGTGGCGCAGGGATGGCCACCACCTCCAGGACCTCGGAGACAGTGACAAGTGCGGGCCCAGGGCGGTGGTGGTGGGGACAGAATGGGGAAGCAGGTTGCCCAGGCAGGCCTAGGCCGCAGGGTAACGCGAGTCCTACCGGCCCAGGTACTTCATTGATACTAGCAGTTTAGTCATCAACAGCCTGGACTACAGCGACCAGGGCAACTACAGCTGTGTGGCCAGCACCGAGCTGGACATGGTGGAGAGGAGCGCCCAGCTACTGGTGGTGGGTAAGTCCTGAGGGTTAGGGGGACACAGGCTGAGAGGTGGGGAGGGTGCAAGGCAGGCCTCTAAGCCAGAGGCTGAGCAGGGCAGAGACTCACCCTCCTGGCCTTCAGGGAGTCCGGGGCCGGTGCCTCAGCTGGAGCTGTCCGACCACCACCTGTTGATGCAGAACCAGGTGCGCCTGTCTTGGAGCCCTGCTGAGGACCACAACGCCCCCATTGAGAGTAAGCAGCTGCCACAGGAGGCCTCTCTGCCCAGGCCCCTCCCTGCACCACACACCCTCCATGATGGCACAATTGCTCTGTGCTTCTTGGCAGAGTATGACATTGAATTTGAAGACAACAAAATGGAGCCAGAGAGATGGTTCACGCTGGGCAAGGTGCCTGGGAACCAGACCTCAGCCACTCTCAAGCTGTCGCCCTACGTCCACTATACCTTCAGAGTCACTGCCATTAACAAATATGGCCCTGGGGAGCCCAGCCCGGCCTCTGAGACTGTGGTAACGCCTGAGGCAGGTAAGTCAATGCTGAGGAGGGTCAGCAGGCCGAAGCCCAAGGGTGGGCTGGGGGGAATGTCTCCTCTCCCAGGAGGGTCTCCAGCTATCACCGCCCAGGGCGTGATGGGCAGACACGTTGCTTTGCAGCCCCAGAGAAGAACCCACTGGACGTGAGGGGGGAAGGGAACGAGACCAACAACATGGTCATCACGTGGAAGGTGAGGGTGGCCAGTGGGCGGGGCCAGGCAAGGCTGTGGCGGGTCCCAGGGGACCCTAGCCTGGAGACCAGTGCTGACCACCTGCTGCTCCTCTGCTTGCCCTGCAGCCATTGAAGTGGGTCGACTGGAACGCCCCTCAGGTCCAGTACCGGGTACAGTGGCGCCCTCGGGGGGCTAAGGGCGTGGCCTGGCAGGAGCAGATTGTGAGCGAGCCCCTCCTGGTGGTGACCAACACCTCCACCTTTGTGCCCTATGACATCAAAGTACAGGCCGTCAACAGCCAGGGCAAGGGCCCTGAGCCCCGCATCACCGTTGGCTACTCGGGCGAGGACTGTGAGTTTGGGCGATCCTTGCCCCCCCCCCCAGCCCCCTTGTGCCCTCTAGTGAATCAGGGTCTTTTCATACAAACCTCTGGTGAGGTCAGGGAAGGCCACCTGGCACGGGGTCCACTCAGGGTCATGCTTGACCTCTAGTTGGCATTCCACTGTAGTTTCCTTGAGTCCAGAACTGTCCAAGTGCTTAACCTCGGTCAGGGGTGGCAGATGGCCTGGTCTCCCCCTTGCAGTCTGAAGGGAAAGACCCTCTTCACATAGCACCCAAACCCACCTCCAGTGGGGAGCTGTGGGTGGGCCACAGGCAAGGGCCACCAACGGCTGGCTGTTCCCAGTTCCCCAGGCCAGTCCCCAGCTAAACGATGAAGTCACCGTCATCAACTCCAGCACTGTGCTGATCCTGTGGCAGCCTGTGGAGCCAGCCCAAGTCAAGGGTCACCTCCGCGGATACAACGTAAGAGTCCCAGGCAAAGTGGGCAAGGAGCCGGGGATTTGGCCCCGGAGAGTGACACGGTCTGGGTTGTCTTCTGCCCCAGGTGACATACTGGTGGGAGAGCCCCCAGAGGCATCCACACAGAGGCCACGTGATGGTCCCTGCCAACGCCACCAATGTCACCCTCAGCGGCCTGCAGCCGTACACCTCCTACCACCTGGAAGTGCGGGCCTTCAATGGGCGGGGCTCAGGGCCTGCCAGTGAGACCACCTTCAGCACCCCAGAGGGAGGTGAGCCGTGCCCCGCGCCCCGCCCACACCTCCCCCAGGGCTGCCCTGCGAGGCCCTGCCGGCTCCTGTCTGTGTCCGCAGTGCCCGGTCCACCAGAGGTGCTGCACCTGGAGTGCCAGTCAGACACCAGCCTGCAGCTGTGCTGGCAGCCCCCGCTCAGTCGCAATGGAGTGCTGACTGGCTACCTGCTGTCCTACCGCCCAGGTACACACATGGCTGGCCAGGTGGGTGGGCAGCCCAGGCTCAGCACACAGCCTCCTGATGCCCTCCTGCCTCCCCCCCCCCCACCCAGTGGACAGCGGCAGCCAGGAGGAGCTGTCTTTCGAGCTTAAGGACCCAGAGTTGCAAGCGCACAACCTGACCAACCTCATCCCCGGCCGGCAGTACCGCTTCCAGCTGCAGGCTACCACTAAGATGGGCGCGGGCGATGCCATTTCACAGGAAGGGGGCACCATGGCCCTGTTGGGTGAGCCAGGGACCTGGGCGGGGGCAGGGTGCTGAGGTGACCTTGTCACTCATGCCCTCCACTCACTCACCTCAGAGAGCTCGAATTTTGGCCACATCTCGACCACCACTGGCGAGAACTACAGCATTGTCTCCTGGGTCCCCAAGGAGGGCCAGTGCAACTTCGGCTTCCACATCCGCTTCAAGACCATGGGCGGTGAGGGGCCCAGAGGCTGGGCGGGGAGTGGAGGGGGTGGGGGGCATGGAGTCCAGAGGGGTGCCGCCAGGTGGTGACGCTCACCCGCCCCTGCAGAGGAGAAGGTGGGTCCGGCCCTCCCAGTGCACTACGTCAGCTACAACCAGAGCTCCTACACGCAGTGGAACCTGCAGCCAGGCACGGACTACGAGATCCACCTGCTGAAGGACGAGGGGCTGCTCTACCGCACGTTTATCAAGACCAATGGCACTGGTGAGCCTGCGCCCGGGTGTGCTGGTGGCTCAGGCTGAGCACTGGGCGGGGGCCCTAGGGCTGTCTGTCTGCTGCAGGACGGGTGAGGCTGCCTCCCGCCGGCTTTGCCACCGAGGGCTGGTTCATTGGCTTCGTCAGCGCCACCATCCTCCTGCTCCTCATTCTCCTTCTCCTCTGCTTCATCAGACGCAGCAAGGGTGGCAAGTACTCAGGTGACCCCCAAGCCCCGGGTCCGGGCGGCCCCAGCGGGCCCAGGAGTGCTGGGCGCGGGGCGAGGGCGCCAGAGCTTGGGGGAACAGCGGGCCACCTCGCCCCGCCGACCTTTCTGCAAACCAGCCCGCCGACCTTTCTGCAAACCAGACCGTGGGCTGCTTGGGGACAGGTGGGGGCAGCACTGCTAAGCTAGAGGAGAACTGGGGTGCTTGGAGCAGAGTGGACCCGACCGGCCCCCGCCCCAGCCCTGGGGCTGGGGCCGGGGCCAGAGGGCAAGGACAGGCTGGGACAGGGGAGGAAGCAGGCCCTTCTCCCGTATGTGTCTCTAGTGAAGGACAAGGAGGACACCCAGGTGGACTCGGAGGCCCGGCCAATGAAAGATGAGACCTTCGGCGAGTACAGGTAAGCTCAGGGCAGGTGCAGGGCCAGCCCCGTCCACTCTTCCCCTCTGATCCTGTCTCTCTCTCTCCTGCGCTGCGGGTGACTTCAGGTCCCTGGAGAGGTAAGCAGGGGTCCTGGTGACAGGCCCTATTCCTCTGCTCCCCACTGACACCCCAGTATCAGGGAACCTGTCTTCCTCACCCCCCAGCACCTACTTGCTCCCTCACAGTCCCCCCAGGGTCTGCCTTCCAGCAAACACAGCCCTCCTGCCCTACCCCCCTGTAGTGACAACGAGGAGAAGGCCTTTGGCAGCAGCCAGCCATCCCTCAATGGGGACATTAAACCCCTGGGGAGTGATGACAGCCTGGCCGATTATGGGGGCAGCGTGGACGTCCAGTTCAACGAGGATGGCTCCTTCATCGGCCAGTACAGTGGCAAGAAAGAGAAGGAAGCTGCAGGTGGCAATGACAGCTCAGGGGCCACCTCCCCCATCAACCCTGCCGTGACCCTGGAATAGTGGGGCCGAGCCAGGCACAGCAGGCAGGGCTCTGCCCAGGGTTGGGCTGCAGGGCCTTCCCAGGCCAAGATGCCCCTGCTCACTGTGCCCCTGCCCTGTCCTCCGGCCCTGGGCTGCTGGGGCTGGAATTTGGGGGCAGGGGACTAGTGCTCACCGCCTCCAGCTCCCTCCCCAACCCCTTTCCCCAGTTTATTGCCAAAACCCAGCTGCATCCTCCCAGAAGCGCTCTCTGCTCAGGCTGTCGGCACAGAGAGAGGCCCTGAGTTGGGGGATGGAAAGGAACTAGGACACTGTCCCTGTGGTGCCCTCACTGGGGACAGACCTGGCATGGGTCTCTCCTGTCTGCTTTCCTCCACCACCCCCACCCTGGCCCCCTCCCCAGCCTCTCCCTGGCCAGCCTGTGGGGCTGGGGCAGAAGCATCGCCCTGTCCCCCCATCAGCTCTAACTGAGATAGGAGCGGGGTGAACTAGCCATGGTGGTGGGGAGGCCATCGGAAGAGCCCAGCGGCCCCACCCCAAATACTGCAACCCCCACTGCTGCCCCTCCCCAACGGCTGGCTTTCAGGTGCACCTCACACATGCTGCCTTTGGTCCCACCACGCAACATCCCTGTGGCCTGTGTCACTGCCGGGTGAGGGGTGGGCCACTGCCTCCCCTGCCCACGCCCCGGGCCTCTCCCAGCCGCCACTACCCTCATGCCCCCTTGCCTGCCCCCCCCATGCCCCAGTCGTCTGAACAGTCCTGTTCTTCAGCCTCCCCTGTCCCCACCTTGGGAATGTACATACATTGTGACTTGGACAGTTCGTCCCTATACCCTTTCCCCACTAGTGTGTGAGGCAGATGTTGCAGTCTCTAGGTGGTTTCTAGGTTTTATAGTAATAGCTTTGATGATCCCACCCCCAGGAAAAAGAAAAACAAACGAAAAAACCAGACAGCTCCCCCCACCCCGCCCCCGCGCCGTCTTTGCTTGGTCTGTCCATGAGCCCTCTACAAAAACCAGAAGTCTATATATATATATGTACATAAATATCAGAAATCTAACTGGCAGATAAAAACCTGCAAACAAAACCAGTGTCCATAGTGTCCGTCCTTTCCTCGCGGCTTTCCTCAGCGGTGTCCCTGGCTAAGTGGCCCTCCAGAATGGCTGTGGGGACCTTCCTGCCTCCTGAAGCCCCACTCTGGCCTCTTGTCATGGCAGGAGACAGCATAGCTCGGGAGTGACAAGACTGACCCTCGGCCACCTGTGTCTGCCTGCCCAGCCGCCTGATTTGCAGGTTCCCACAACCCTGGGGCCCTCAGGCCCTGGGGACAGTGGCAAGCACAGAGAGATAGCCAACAAGCACATGTTGCTCAAGACCGTCATTCATTGTCGTTAGGTGCCATTAAGTTGGTTCCAACCTAAGGAAACCCTGCGTGGTCCTGCCCATTGTGACAGCCACTGTGCCAGTCCGTCTTGTCAAGGGTCTTCCTCTTTTTCAATACCCATCACCTTAACCAAGCATGATGGCCTTCTCCAGGGACTGGTCCCTCTTGATAACACGTTCAAAATACATGTGTGTCAGGCTGGGTTGTCGAGAAATAAAACCATTGTCACAGAAACATGTATAAGAAAGAACTTTACATGAGGAAGGCAGCCCAGCCCAGGCCCACTCAAATCCATGGATCCGATGTTAACCGAAGCCCTTTCAGACACATGTAGCTGCAGGCAGATGAAACAGAAAGGTGAAGCAGGGGGATTGCAAGCCAGTGGATGCAGAGCTACGTGGATTTAAGGTTCGTGGGAAGGAACCATAAATCAGACTACTGACAGCTCTCACATGGGGCCACCCCTAGAGGTAGACACAGAATCCAAGCAAGAGGCAAAGGGCAAGTGACAAATTCTCCGTCTCTCTTATTCAAAGGCCACACCCGCCAAGACATCACCAGGCTATCGTCTGAATGACAGGTTGGTCTCCACCCTTACCTCCAGACAGGCACCATCAAATTGACATAAAGTCTAACCACTACAGCGTGAGACCATCCTTGCTTCTAAGGAGCATTCTGGTTGTACTTCCAAGACAGATTTGTTTGTTCTTATGTCAGTCCATGGTACTTTCGATATTCTTTGCCAGCACCACAATTCAAATATACTGATTTTTCTTTGATCTTCCTTTTGCAATGCCCATTTTTACATGCATATGAGGAGATGAAAAATACAGTGGCTTGGGTCAAGCACACTGTAGTACTTGCTTTTCAACACTTCAAAGAGGTCTTGTGCATCAGATTTACCCAATGCAATGTGTTCTTTGATCTCTTGACTGCTGCTTCCATGAACATTGATTGTGTGTGGATACACGCAAAATGAAATCCTTGATAACTTCAATATTAGCTCGACTTATCATGCTGTTGTCTATTGGTCCAGTTGTGAGGATATTTGTTTTCTTTACATTAATTTGTTGTCCATATTAAGATTGCAGTCCTTGATCTTCATCAACAAATGTTCCAATTCCTACTCACTTTCAGCAAGCATCATTCATTAGGGAAGTGCAAATCAGAGACACAATGAGTTACCACTTCATTCCCACTACGATGGCTATTTTCAACAAAATGGAAATCAGAAAGTGTTGAGGAGGATGTGGAGAAACTGGAACCTGTTTGTTGCTGGTAGAAATGTCAAATGGTGCAGCCGCTGTGGGAAACAGTGGTTACATTGGCTCCTCAAAAAGTTTGACTAGTATATGGCCCCACAATTTCACTGCCATGAAAACAGACCCAAACAGACGTACGTCAGCAATGTTTCACAGCAGTAGTTTTAGAAATACATGGCGGTGATGGTTGCAAAGCATTTCATAAAATGCTACTGAATCGTACACTAAAAATGGTTGAAATAACACATTTGGGGGTGGGAGATATATTCTTAATATGATTGACTGAATTAAATTACTAACCGAGAAGATAAAGAAAGACTGTGGATCTAAGGTCTTGATAGATTTTACTTTATGAGGGTTCAAATAAGTATCAATACAATCAATGCTATTTGAAGCTCAGTTTATTTTCTTTTTCCTATGTTTGTATATGTGTATGTCTCTATTGAGTCTCTTTCGTGTCTCTTTCTTATTTATTTATTTTGATCATCCCCATCCCTTTCCTCCCCCTACCCCCAGCCTGCCTGTAAGCATCAAAGTCCACTTGTTTTGCTGGGAAGACCATTTCTCTTTATTTTTTTCTTTTATAATAGTGGTCTCCTACAAATAATTTTTTTTTCTTTTACAATAGTGGTCTTTATGAGATTAACTGACTTTGCTAAGCATAATGTGTTCCATTGTGTTCCATGTCATGACCTGTTTGACAGTTTTATCACTATTTTCTGGGGATGCATGATATTCCATTGTATGAATGTATCCGTTGATTTCTCCATTCCTCTACAGATGGGCATTTTGGTGGTCTGCATCTTCTTGTTATTGTGGATAGCGCTGTGATAAACATGAATGAGCAAATATCCCTTTGTGTTGTGTTCTTTATTTTTGGAGGTATGTACCAAGTAGAGAGACTTGGTATTTCTATTCCCATTTGTTAAAAAAAAGTGCCATACTGTTTTCCATAGTGGTTATACAAGGGGATAATCCCCCACAAACAAGAAAAAAGCTCCACTGGGTAGAGCTTTCGTAGCACACATTTTTCCTTGCTAGGCGAGCGTCGAGCAACTCACTCTGAGTTAGTGCACTCAGTGGCATCCCTTGGGAAAGTTCTCTCTGGCCACAGTGAAATTTTTGGTAAAAGCAGTTTGGCTCGAGCCTCATTTTTGTGATGGCCAATTTCAGAGAACAGCATGCGGCTGTGAAATTCTGTTTCCTGCTTGGGAAATATGTCACAGAAACTTCTGTGATGTAGTACATAGCTTACATGAACAATACCATGAGAAAAACAAGTGTACCAGTGGTTTTCTTGTTTCAACAAAGATGAGATGTCGATTGACGACAAACCTCATTGTGGACGTCCGTCAACTTGCCAAACGTATGAAAATGTTGACTCGTAGCGCATTTGGAGTTTGTTCCCCCAGGTCAGACTGTTAATCAAGTTTTCTATTTAGAGGTTCTGAAAAGATAGCATAACAGTGTGTGACCCAAAAGGCTTGATTTGTGGCAGATGAGGGACTGGTTTTGCCACCATGACAATGCACCTTCTCTTGCAGCCATCTCAGTGCACCATTTTTTGGCAAAACCCAGCATGCCTCTCTTGCCCCATGCAACTGACTCACCTGACCTCGCTCCATGTGACTTCTTTTTGTTTCAGAGAACGAAGAGGGACATGAAAGGACAGCGATTTGAGGACACAGAAGAGGTGAAGAAAAAACAAACAAACGGATGAGTTTGAAAAATGTTTCCAAGAATGAAATCGTAGATTTGACAAATGTATAAGTGTAATGGAGAGTACTTTGAAGGTGATAAGGTTGTTTTGTAAAAAAACAAAAACAAATACATAGGGGGGCGGTACTCCTTTGTGTTAGTCTGGGTAAACTAGAGAAACAAATTCACAGAGACACATGTGTGTAAGAAAGAGCTTTATATAAAGAGCAATTGCATATTGAGAAAACATCCCAGCCCAGTCCACATCAAGTCCATAAATCCTATATTATCCCATATGTCCAATACCAATCTATAAAGTCCTCTTCAGACTCACGCAACACATGCAATGATGCTGAATGCAGGAAGATCCCAGGCCAGTGGGTGGGAAGTCTTGTGGATCCAGTGGCGTTGTAAACATCCTCAACGCTGGCAGGGGTCTTCACATGGCTTCTTCAGCTCCAGAGGTCTGGCTCCATCTGCCTCTCTCCATGTGTCTTCTCTACAGGGATGTCTCCCAGGGAGTGATCCCCAAGAGTGTCTCCCACCCCCAAGGAGGAATACTTGAGCTCCCAGAATCCTCAAGAGAAGGCCATGCCCACAAAGGGGCCTCATTGGCTATGACCTGATTGACAGGCTAGACTACACCTCTTCACGTTCAATCCTCTCAATTTGACAAACGATTATATAACTACCACACCCCTCATACAACTCTGAAATCCCACTGGCAGTGTATGAGGGCTCCTCTCCACACCCTTTCCACAATTTTCTTTTCTTTTTTTGGTTGTGTTTTATTTTTACCATTATTGTTTGTGTGTGTGTTTTCATTTTGCTATCAGTGCTGGTATAAGGTAGTATCTCATCATTGTTTAATTTGCATTTCTCATATCTAGTGATCTGAAGCACTTCTTCATATGTTAGTCATTTTTATATCATCTTTGGTGAATTGCCTATTCATGTCTTCTGCACATTGTTAATTGGATTATTCATGGTTTTCTTATTGAGATGATGTTGCATTTTTCTGTAAGTTTTCAATGTTAGCCCAATCAGTTTTTTCCCCTCATTTGATAAACTCTTTTGATGTACATAAATGTTGCTTGTACAAGGTCCCATTTCTGTATTTTGTCTTCTGTAGTGTGAGTGGTTTTCATTATGTTTGGCAATGGGTTTATGGTTTTATTAGGATCCTTTAGTTTGTCCCTAGCTTTTCATTGATGATCCTTATAGTTCTAGGGTTTATATTTAAGTCTTCAATCCATCTTGAGCTTGTTTTTACATAGGGTGTTTGTTCTAGGGTTCCAGCCCCCACAATTGAGTGGGTGCAAAGGGCAGTTTTGTAATTGAGGGGTAAAATTAAAGAGACATCAGACAGGATAAGGCATGCAATTGCTCACCTCCCAGAGAGCCATGATCTCAGCAGCCAGGTCTGTGCAGAGAGAGCAAATACATTTCTAACCAAAGCTTATATAACCTTAGGGGGTATGCAAGCCCCCCTAATTACAGGAACAGGTAACTACATGTGTAACAGGGAGGGTTGTACAATAGGCATACGTGCAACAGGAGCTAGGGTGAGCTAGTGGTGTGCATGCAATAGGAAGGGGAGGCACTAGGGGCAAACGTATGACAAGGTGGGCAGACTCCAGATTCAAGATGGCAGCCTAACCTTAGTCCTCCCTGAGTTGGCTTGACCTTGTCTTTGGGCTCTCCTTCAGGGGAACCATCCACTATCCTTATCAGAAGGGAGTG